TTTTTAAAATCACATTATATATATTATTTATATTATTTTATATTATGTGATTATATAGAAGGAATTCTACTTAATCATCCTTTATATAATCACCAAAAAGTGGTAGCCAAATAGGGTGATTGTATAGGAGGACGACTGTAATAATAATTAAATAATTAATTATCTATTAATTATAATATTATATTATAAGTGGTTGTAGCAACAAGTAGAAAACCAGGCTGCAACTATTGCAGAGCTTAATCATATAGCTCTCGATCATTTGCAACAATTCGTTCATTGAAAGCAGGAGCAAGAAGCTTTTATTAAAGAATGAGATAGATATCGGACTTGGTTCGAGAAGCGTGATGCTGTTTACCAAGATTTTCTTTGCCAGTTTGAGGAAAAAAAAAGAAGAAGAGAAAGAGATGATAATGAAAGAAGAAGGGTGAAGGAGGAAAATGAGAGAGGGAGAAGAGGTTGGGGTGTTTTTGTATATAGAATAGTTTTTCTTTTCATTGTCTTTTTCTATTTTCTTAGAATTTTTCTTTTGTAAATAAAAAATAAAAATTTTGCTTTTTTAAGTTTTTCGTTTTCTTTTAGAATTTTTTCTGAAAATTCTTATTTTCTTTTTAATTCTTCTTTCTCTTTTTTTTTTTTTTGTTAGGGTCTTCTGGCTCTAACTATTACTTAGACAATGTCTTTTCTTTGTCTTGGATCAAGGTATTCTAGATTGCTGGGTTAGTTTTGATCATTTTGGCATTCGTGATGTAAGTTATATAATCAATGCTTATAAATAAGTTAACCAATCATCTACTAATTTCGGTTTTCTTACTCTTTCTACTTTTTATTTTTTTTAAGTTTATACACTTTAGATCTTCTTTCAAATTTCTTCATTTCAAGTTGTATATCTTTAGCATTTGGTCTTGTTCTTCCTCAAGCTTTGGATCTTTTATAGATTATCAAAGCAAATCCATCTTAAATCACTTTTTTTCAAATGTGTTGACAAGTAGATTCTGAGTAGATGTTCGGTCTTTCTTTTCTTAAACCTAGCTTTTCTGATTTTCTTTCTAAGTCTTGGGTCTGGTTTCATTCTTTTCTTTAGCTTTTTTCAGTTTTCGATCTTGTGCCAAGCGAGATTTAAGATTTTCTTTCTTTCACTATTTGAATCTTGAAATATTAGAGTAGATTTGTTGTAGACTTCAGTACTTGTGCGATCTTTTGAAGCTTTGAGTATATATTTGGCCTTTCAATACTTAGATCTTGAAATGTTTGAGTAGATCTGCAATAGCTTTGATGTTCGTGTGATATCTTAAAGCTTTAGGGAAGTATATTTGTTTGTTTGTTTTTTTCATATCTTTATTTTTTGCATATTCTGTTTTTCTTTTGCTTCTAGAATATCATTTTTAGAACTGTCATTGTTTTGAGAATTATTGTGGTGTTGCTTTGACTGTCTGTCTTGATTTGTGGTGGCTTTGATACTTGTGTAGTGCCTTTTCAAGGTTTTCTGAATTGTCGTTTGTCATTCTTGGAGTTGTTATAAATGCTGTCTTTTTGGGTCCAAAGACTTCATAAACCTTTATGCCAAAATATATAGGTATGCAAAATTAATTGCAGTTGCAGGACTTAATAAATACACAGGTAATTAAAGTAGTATTTTTTTTTTTAATCTTCTTTTGAATTGTTGTAATAATTTCTTCTTTAGCAAGATATTTCTCAGAGTATGATTATAAGGTGTGCTTGATTACAAAGTTATGTGGCACAAAACTTTATAAGTGCACTGTATTCTCTATTTTTTTTTTCACATGTATATATATATTTTTTTTTAACTTAGCTTTTTTTTCACTAACACTTCATTTAATTCTAGGGGCTTTAATCCAACGAATTAGTTAAAGTAGTATTTGGGTCCAATTGGGAACACAAGAAGATGCGCCAACTCAAGTTCAGCAAAATAGTTATTCAGAACTGGACATAGAGCGCAAGAGCTTTGTAAAGCGATGTATCCTTTTCATATATTGTTGTGTTAACTAAAAGTTCGGTATCGAGCATAGAACTTTGTTAAAATACGTATCCTTTTTATGTTCTGCTTTTGTGTTTATGTATTGTTTTTTTTTTAATATTAATTGTCCAATGCAAAAATTTAGGACTGTTCAAGTCTTTATCAAGACTTAAGATAGGTAGCTTCCGAATGGATAAAAGAGTAGGTTCTTTGGATATGATATATCGAATAGTTAAGTATTTGGAAATGGAACCTAGATAATTATTTTAGGAACAAGAAATTTAAGATTTTTTTTTTTATATACTTGACTCTTCCTTCTCCGGTGTTAATAAGCGATATTTCTTTCAAGGTACATTTGTGAGTCTTCCCAATATTGCCTTGATTGGGGTTTTGAGATTCGTATAAATATAGGGCTGATAGGGATGTATATATATATTTACGATTGATTTCTGATTTATTTTTTTTTATTATTATTTTTATTTTTTTAGTCTTCATTTCGTTTTACTAACAAAATTCCTTTTTCTTTACTAGCTGAGTCCTTTTGGACAATCGATATAAGGCCTGTGGAAAATAATAAAGTATAGAATATTTGGTATAAGTAAATGGGTAATCAAAAATATGGCTTTTTGTTCTCTAGGAGGAATGATTTAATGAAATGTCATCTTTTTTTTTGAATATCAAAGGTCTTTAAGAAGTTATCTAGAGTTCTCCAGTTAGAATCTCTAAACCTTGATTGTGATTACTAGGCATTGGACAAATGTCCTAGTAGATAAGTATTATCATATGGTTTAAAATAAGATTTTGCTATGAATGGATTGAGATTTAGTATTTAGACTAAAAAGGAATCTAATAGTTAGAAATAAGGATTTAGTATATTAAGGGTTAGAATTAAAAATAAATCAAATAAGGTTTGAGATCGAGGAGAGAATGGTGTCTAGTGCTATAATGAAAGGAGATTCGAATAGTTGGAAACGAGTTTCTAAGTTAGGATTAGAGAATCGGGTTTATGGATTTGAATTGAGAATAAGTGAAATGAGTTAAATTAGAGATAAAGGAATAGGATAGTTTATAGTTAGAAATGAGTTTTTGATTTAAAGTTGAAATAGAGGAAGCAGATTTGATTTGAAATTGGGGTTTAAATGGGTTAGGTTAGGATTAATTAGATTGAAAATAGGTTTATAATTAAGAGTAAGGTTAGGTCTAGACAAAATAGAGTGAGTTAAAATAGATTGAATGATTTAATTAGAATTGGGATTAAAGTTAAGGAGAGGTGGAGAATTTAGCTTAGATTAGAAAAGGGATCAAATAAATTAGAATAAGAGGGTTCAAGATTAGGAAAATGAGATCAGATTTGTAGTCAGAAGAGGAATTAATTTAGAAAATCAGGTATATGATAGTTAGAAATAGAATCAGGTTTGTAACAATTGTTAAAATGAATTGAGATTCAAGTTAGAAATGAATTAAATAGGTTAGATTAGGAATAGATCAATGTTAAGAGAATGAGATTAGGTTAGGGTTAGATGGAATGAATAAAATGTAAAATATGTTTTAAGATAAAAATTAGAAAATCAGATAATTAAAGTTATAGTATTAAAAATATTTGAGACGTCTCCCAATTATTGTTAGAACATATAACACTTAGTTTCTTTGGGTTTATGTTAGTAATAAGGGTGGATTTTGAGTTAGATAGAATGAATGGGATTAAAAATAGATTTTGGTTATTTAGAATATAGGGTAGTTCAGAATGAGGATTTAGAATTGGGTTTAAGATATCATGTATATGCATTGAATATAAATAATTAAATAATTAATAAAGAAATAGGTCGTTTGATAAATTGTATATATGCTAAGAACTAAAAATTGTCATAAGTTCTTGGTCACGTAATATAGCACTTTGTTTCAAAGATTTGGGCAGGTGCTGGATTTAAGCAGTGATAAAATCTTCCTAGCTTCGATAGTATTATATAGAGTTCTGAGATATAAAATTTTCTAAAGTTTATATTTACAGGGTTGAGATTATTTACGTCTACACTTTGGCTCGTGGGTAATCTGCGCTTAACACTTTTGGTTAAAGTTTGCAGTAAGCTGCGAGCTATGGGTCCTTATGCCTACACATTTGGCTCATGGAGTACTTGTTCAAGGGATCTAACCTCGGGGTTGCAGTAAGCTGCGAGCTCTGGTTGCTACGAAAGCAGAGGCTTCAAGTGGCCCTTCTGTACAAGTCTTTTTCAACT